AGGTCTCCCCTGAGCCTCCTCTTCTCCAGGCTGAACACCCCCAGCTCCCTCAGCCTCTCCTCATGGCACTTGTGCTCGAGTTAACAGAAACACAGCTCTGTGTGTGCTATTGCCATGGATTTTTAATATACTTTTTTAATTTGCTTATCTCTATGCATATTGTGCCTGCAGTGATTACACTGATGCTATTTTCACCTCCACAGAAGTTGCACAGCCCTCCGTGGACTAAAGCTGAAGATAAAAAATCACCTGAAAGAAATGAGAAAAAATTTGAAGACTCTGTTAGTAAAAAAGAAAAAAAACTCTAAACACTACTAACCTGCATTAAAAAACTGCCAATCACCAGATTCCATCTTCATATTGTTTTCAGTGCAAAGGCATGGAATGTACCAGGTTTCTAAAGCATGCATTTTTCACTCTTTGATGAATGTTTGTAGAATAGACCAATTAGTACCTTCCAGCAATAATCCAAAATGGGTGTTTGAAGAAATGCTTTGTAATACAGTCTGGTTTTGGAAATCTTGTTCTACCCGATCAGTAATTGCCTATCATAAATTAGTTTCTAGTAAACCACAGCCATTCTCAAGTCTTTTCTCAGTCAGTTCTATTTCACATACCTTTTATGGCAGATTAGGTTTTTAAATTAAGATTCAAGGGTAGTTCATTGTAGGGGGGAAATATATATGTAACCATAGTTGAAGTACAACTCATGAGAGCACCTGTAAATAGGGAGCTGGGTGGGGTCTGTGTATACTTACCTTTCAGTAATACAGTTTCAAATCTGCTTACTTAAACAATAAAAAAATGTTTATTTGGTTCTTTTTTTTTTTCCTGCCCTCACTGCTACTCCGTTTTTGAACACTGAAGTGTTGACAGAATTGCAGAGTTCAAGGAGTGAAGATAGAGTTGTGGCTTTTGAGATTTAAGCAAATATTTTTGTCGTTGACGTTGAGTTATAATTGTATAACTTGGTTCCAGCCATGGGAAGTCTGTTCCATCCCTTCTATTTGTGCTGATCTCAGCAGGAGAAATTTACCTCAAAGGGTAAAACCCCTTTTTGTCCACTAAAGGTGAGGAGGAACATATTGGTTGGGGTAAGCTCTGTGACTTATGGGTTCTTTGGGTTTCTCATGGGTCACATACTCAACGACAAGAAAGCAGAAAGGAAGGGAGGAGAAGGAAGAGAATGGTTTTTCATCTTTGTGTGTATGTCATTAATGGTCTAATTTAAGAATTCATATGCCACATCTTGTTGAGATGCAAATCTTTCAGGAACATTTGCCCTGGGAACAGTAAATTGCCTGATGCAATGCTGCTGTGTTTCCTCTTGCAAGAAGTGTTTTTACAAGTTATAACTGCTTAACTCCCACCTTTCTCTTACTACACACAGCACCACATTACAACTTTTACTAGATTGTAACTAGTTTACTTATATTAATTTGCATTTTCTTGCTTTGCATCAGCTTAAAGGCAAATAGACAAATCTTGAATTTCATTTAGTGGTGCTGTCTCTTCAGTTTTAGCATTTAAAATTTTACCTGTCTTTCAACAGTCTTCTCCCATCCCTGCCTGTTCCTTGCTGGTGTGAATAACCTTTCCCCTGACAGTTTGTATCTGCTCCTCTACTCATATTGCAGAATGGTAAGTTTCTCTGCCTCGAGAAATATAGTTTTAAAAAGAAAAAACTTCACGCACTGACCAAAGGATTACAAAGTACTGCTCAACCAAGTCACACCACCACTGGAGAAAAGATTATCCATTCTAAGGGTCAAAAGAAGTGAAATCATGACCAAAATTAATCAGAAAAGAGATGTGGCTTTTCACATCTGATCCTGAACCTCGCTGAAGACAAGCTGCTGCGTGTCAGAGTTTTCAGTGAGTGAGACTTGGGATCTTGCTCTGTCTACAGTTGGAATTAATTTCTAGCAATGTCAAAGGCAACACTTCTTTGCATATGACACACCTCAACTGAAAAGGTCACTGAAACTGTTTCAATCATCTGTCAAGAAAGGACATGGATCTCCATGTGCACCTCCCAGAGGAACGAGGTAACTGTCCTACCTGGCATTTGTTTCATCTTTCTAGAGCATTCAGCAGTATCTACTGTTGCTAGAACTGCTTATTGCCACTGTGTCAAGGGATGGTTTGGGGTTGGTGTCCACAACTTGAAAAAAAAATCTATAAATCAGCACTAAGCTAGCTGGGTTTTTAATTTTTATTATATTTTTATTTAACATATGTAAAAGTTGAATGGTTGAATAGCTCTCTGCTCTGTGGGAACGTGTATCGTTTCATTGTACTTCACCACCAGATAATGAAGGTAATAAATCTGTTTGCTCTCAGGAAAACACAAAATAATCTCCAAACTGACCTCTTTTCATCTTAATCCCATTATGTCACTAAGAAAGGAGGTCTGGTCGTTTTAATTATAACAGCTTCTTAATCACTCAACAGTGCTAAGCTAAATAATGGCTTTGCAGATGTGATAACCTTTGTGATTGCTAATAATAAAACATCCATTTTACAGAGTTAACACACTCAAATACACAAGCTTTAGCTGGCAATAATCTGACCCATTTCTTAGGGGATTCACATGCAGAGTGAAGCCATTATATGTTGTTTTGAACAAAACCTTACAGTTTAAAAATAGTTCTGTGGTGCAGTTGTTCTGTAGATGTGACAGGCAAAGGCTCAATGCAAGTAATGAAATGATATTGCTTTTCCCTTTACCAGTGCAGGTGACTTCCCTCAGTAAGAAATTCCCACATCACCTAAATGTTTATTTAAATTTAGGCCCAGATGGGTCTTGTTCTCAGAGTATAATAACCTTAATATCAGGACTGTATCTGATAGGGCAAATGGTAGAGCAGCAGAAATGGATTTTTCACTGCCTGTCCTTGGTGCACATATGACAACTATATTATAAAGTCTGTTGAAATGAACCTGATTTTTTGAGTTTGTATCTTGCTCTGCATTTGCATCCCACAGGACCCTGAAGAGCTTACACCTCTCCAACCTTCTCATCTCCTGATGGATCTGTGCAATGAAAACCAAGGCTGAAGCTGATTTATTTAATGCAGAATATGGGAGATCTATTTTCTTATTATTCCTGAATCAGGACATAAGGTATTTGTTGGAAATAATGCTATCAGTGCTCTTTAAAACTGTCCAGGGATTGATGCATGTGTCTCCTTCCTTTCCTCACTTCCTTAGCCCTCTTTCAAATGCTCTTTTAACTAGGGGAAAAAATTGTGTGCTTAAAAAAAGAAATGCACATCATCCAGGAAACCTACTGGTCTGAATTATTATGTAGAGGAAATAATTCACTAGCTGAGAAAATCCTACCTAAGCAAAACAAAAAAAAAGTATGGAGAAAAATCTTCTAATTTCTTTGGTTTTGCAAGACTTTCATGGATTCAAATTTTAGTTGCTGAGAGAAGAACAGTAAAGGAGAGAAGATAAAGTCCTTTTTTGTAGTGACTGAAAGGCAAAATAATGAGTTTGGATTCATTTTATGGAGTTGTTTTGCCTTTTATTTACACAACTGGAAGTGAGGAAAAAAAATGTGGGCAGTGACCTTTGAGAAAAAGTATTTGATCAATTGATACAGAGCTAATCCTTCTAGCCTGCAACCAGGTAAGGAGAATGCCACAAGTTAAAAAACTGTGTGCATTGCTCTTCTTACAGCAGTTGGTACTGGTGTCATTGGCAGTTCAGCTTCCTTTTTGCAATGTTCAGTTCTTAACAGAAAAAGAACAGGGTTTTTTATAAGTTTGTTTAGTGCTTTTTTTCACTTGGGAGTCAGCTAGGACATAGTTTTTTATAGAAAGCAAAAAAGTATTAAAGATTCAACTACTCCTATAATTAGATGCCTGTAAGGACAGATTAATTCATGATTAAGGAGAGAAGGCTTGAATTTTACATCTTTTAGCCTTAATCTATTTACCATATTCCATGAAGCTGGAAGGATTATGGAAAAAAACTTGGAACATAAGTGTAGATGCGTGCAAGTATGTTAATAAATATTTCTTCTATAATTTATAGTCTGTTTTTAATTCATAAATACACTCATTAAGTCATGTGCTTCTTCTATAATTTATAGTCTGCTTTTAGTTCATAAATACACTCATTAAGTCATGTGCACACACTTGCCCACCAACCCCTCCATGGGTAAAGCAGAGACAGTGCAAGTAGTATAATAATACAGATTTGAGCAGGCAATTGTAGGCTGAGTGATAAGATTTTTAGCTTTTAAAATTAGCTTTTAAAGTGGGATTGAACTATTTTACAGGTTAAGCATATTTTACTGATCTCAGTGGGGAAAAAACCTACCCAACAGACAGCACAGTAGAACATGGTCTTGCCAGGCTGCAAATTCAATCAACAACTGTTATATGAGAACTTGAAGGCTTTTCCCTAGTCATAATTGTTTTCACTGACACTGTTATTCCCCTTATCAGGTGAAATAATTGCAACCAACCTTTAACCTGTGAAAACATCGCTATGCTCTGCTCTGAATCTCATCAGAAGGAATCTGACTTTTTGCTTTTGCAGTCTTGGATCTCCCATGTTGGCTGACAGTAAGAAGCCAAGTCTTACTGATAGTAAGTCTATCAGTAAGAGATCTTGGATTCACTTCAAAATTAAAATATTTCCTTCAATATTTTCTTGCCCAAATTCACCAAACCTTATGTGATTAATGCCCTTTTCTCTGCCTCTTTTTTTCTGCTAGAGTAGCTGAAATCAAGAGAACTAAGCTTAAAAGCACATCAAATGCTACTTATCCAAGTCTTACAGCATGTTGCTATGAGTGTGTATATTTAGTAATGTGCTAATAGACAGTTCACTTCCATGGCAAGTACATTTCTTATTTCCCACTGTATGACACAGAAGCCTTAGTTAGAGACTGGAGATTCATTTTGCTGCTGGTAGTACCAAAACAAAATACAGAAGAGCTGTCCCCACCATGGTCTGTGACATATATTTGACAAGGTAGTGTTTGTAGAAGTGTCCATAGGCAGAATTAGACCTTCCAGCAGTAAGGATGGGAAGAGGGGAGAAAAACCAAAAAGAAAACCCAAAACAACACCAAAAAAACCCATAGTATGATGGGTTTGAGAGAGGAATCAGCTTCTGTGTTTTGTTGGTGTTTTTTTTCAAGGAGTTTCTGTTTTCAGCTGTGAGAGTTGAAAGCCTTAAGAAAAGTCTTGAGCAGGTTCTGCTTGGGATCTATTAGTCAAGAAGTGATTACATCCTACCTGACACAGTAACAGGCTTGTTGGCAGCTGCAGAGCAAAGGGGTGAGGCT